CACATCACCAAGCCTGTCTGAGTTCAAGGAGTGTTTAGACAATACTCTCAGGCAAATGATGTGATTCTTGGGAGTGGCCCTGTGCAGGGCCAGAACTTGGACTTCAGTGATCCTTGTGGGTCCCTTTCAACTCAGGATATTCTATGACTGTGTGATTTTATGGAATAGGAGAACACAAAAAGATCCTCTGTGACAATTCTTATAAAATAATTCCAGGTATTGTATTATTTGCCAAGAGATTCTGATACCACGTGAGTAGTGAAAATTGATTCTGCAGCATTTTCTTTTATTTGGGCCTTTTGTCCTATTACATCTGCCAAAATCCACATCTGAAGCACCTTTACTAGTATATGTACACTTGCCATTGCAGCAGCTTTGTAACTTTGCCATGGCATAGAGGACCTGCTTTCTGACTGGCTTTATATTTCACCTTGTTTCCACTCCTTAGGAATGTATCACAAACTACAGCAATATTTTGGAGGAGATTCCCCTTATTTATTGCTCTTTCACTGGGAACATTGTGTTTCTGGGAGCTTGGCCCACCTTCTATGGAATAGGTCATCAAATGCTGCCCTGTAGCCTGCAGTTTACTCTTAGAGGGGCATTTCAGATGGTATTGTCACACCAAGCCATGCTTCTGGAACATGAACTACAGAATTCAGATGGTCTGTTGTAGTCAGCATCTCCTTTTCTCTAGTTCTAGCCTGCCCCTAGTATGTTTTCAGAGGTCATCTTCTTGGGATGCACTCACCTCAGGAGCTGAGCATTGCCTTTCACAAGCACCCCACTCTCCCAGGTAACTATGGAAAGAGAAGAAATGCAGTATCACTGCCCCAAATCACTCAGGCAGTGCATAGTTTATAATTATTTATCTCGACAGCATCTGTATTGGAGGTGTCAGAGAGGACCCTTGGTATCAATTTCGGCATTTGTTGAGGTTTCAAAGGGGCCAGGCAGTTATTTTCTGGATGATTTACTAAACTGAAGATTTTTTTCTTAAACAAAACAATCAACACAGACACTGGCACAGACTGACCATTGCAAAACATCTCCATTTGTCAGTAAGCTTTTGCAACCACTAAAATATCCCTGTTGTTTGTGGTGATATTGTGAAAGCAGACAGTCAGTATTGTGTGAGCCAGAAAAAGAACAGCTTTAAAATTCAATCGCAGTTTTACCTTAACAGTAGAGTTATTTCATCCCATTTTTTGTCCAATTCCAATCAGTTTTAAAGAGGGAGGGATGGAGTACCTAAAGTTCAATGGGAGGAATTTTTATGTTTTCTTACCTACCTCTTGGCAATAGCAGGGCCCAGCGCATGGAGTTGAAGGAACATTGTAAATTCTGAGAGGCACTTTTCAAATACAGAAAGGTCACTTTGTAGTCATCGTCCTCATGCCCATTGTACTGGAATATAATGATGTGGGAAATGGTGAGATGTAGTTGCATAACTCCAAAAGTTAGCATGTATTCCTTCAAAAGGAACAAGAAAGAATATTCCTCTGAACAAAATATTCAGACTTTACAATGCCATATTTTGTTACAGAAACAAATTTTCTTTCTTTCTTTTTTTTTTTTTTCCCCTGTAGAGTATAACTAATCAGAAGGTATTTGAGATTGGAATTTTTTAGACTGGAGCAGTATTTTTGGGCAGATGTCCATTCTCACTGTCACAACAGTAACAAGCATTCCAATAATTAGCTGGTTAGTGAGTGCTCAGAGTCCAAGGAAAGGGAGCAGAAAAAAGCTAAACTCGAGATTTTGATAATTGACAAAATCTCTTCTCCCTTTTTAGGTACATTGAAAATTTGGCTTTGTCAGTGTGGAACTGAAGGGCTGTTCTTTAGAAATCTTTGGGGTTTTGACATTTTCTTACAGACTTTCTTTTTTTTTTCCCCATTTTTGAGGACAAATTTTTGAAAAGTACACATCTCGGACACTGAGTATTTAGTGCTCATTTGAAAACTTCTGGGTTTTTTGGCAAGTTCCCTCCATGTGTTTGACATTGAAAAAATAAGGACTCAAAAGTCATCTCTAATGTAGGAGGGCACACAGCAGCATTTTGGGAAGGCTTTGTGTTCAATGGTAGACGCAACTGGAAGTTCCCATGCAGCCTGCATACAAGAGCTTTGCAATAATTTTGGGGAATTTATGTTAGATTATCTGTCATGTCCAAGTCTTCTAGTCTTATTACCTTGTGTCTTGAGTTTGTGCAGTAATATTTTGGTGGGGGGAGGGTCTACAGGGGTGGCTTCTATGTGAAGCTCCTGGAAACTTCCCCCATGTCCAACAGAGCCAATGTCAGCCGGCTCCAGGACACACTCACGGCTGGCCAAGGCTGAGCCCATCATGATGGCATTAACACCTCTGGGATAACGTATTTAAGAAAGGGGGAAAGTGCAAGAGGAAATTGCAACCAGAGTGAGGAGCGAGAATATGTGCGAGGAACAACCCTGTGGACCAAGGCCAGGGAAGAAGGAGGGGGAGGAGGTGCTCCAGGTGCCGAGCTATCCCTGCAGCCTGTGCTGCAGACCATGATGAGGCAGCTCTGTCCCTACAGCCCTTGGAGGGCCACGGAGGGGCAGAGATCCACCTGCAGTCCGTGAAGGACCCCACAGTCGAGCAGGGGGATGCCTTAAGGAGGCTGTGGCCCAATAGAAAGTCCATGCTGGAACAGGCTCCCCCCTGGAGAGAGCAGCCCACGCTAAAGCAGGTTTGCTGGCAGAACTTGTGACCCTACACTAGAGCAGCCTACTCCTTTGGGGGGAATAGGAATATTCCCATGAGGGGCCCAGGCTGTAGCAGTCTGTTCCTGAAGGACTTCAGCCCATGCAAGGGACTCACACTGGAGCAAGGGAGGAGTATGAGGAGTCCTCCCCTCAAGGAGGAAGGGGTGGCAGAGGCAAGGTGTGATGAATTGACTGCAGCCCCCATTAACTGGGGGGAACAAGTACAGAAATCAAGAGTAAAGTTGAGTCCAGGAAGAAGAGAGAGAGGTGGGTAGCAGGTGTTCTTAAGATAAGATTTTATTTCTCATTATCTTGCTCTGTTTTGTTTGGTAATAAATTAAACTGATTTCTTCAAGTCAAGTCTGTTTTGCCCATGTCAGTCAGTGACCTCTCCCTATCCTTTTCTTGACCCACAGGCCTTTCATTATATTTTCTCTTCCTTGTCCCCCTCAGCAGGGGAGTGAGAGTGGCTGTGGTGGGCACCTGGAGTCCAGTCAGGGTCACCCCACCGCATCTTGCTTCTGGGCAATGTGCTTTCTCTCCACCTGAACACACTCAAAGGTGTGTGAGGGTATTTTTAAGTCAAACCATGACAGGATTTTGAGAAGGTCACTCAATTTGATGACTTCCTATTAGTGAGAGATTCTAATCTAGGATCTATGGGCCCTGGGGAATGCAAGTTTTGTTTCACTTGCTGAAGTAAGTAAGGAAAAAAATGAGAAAATAGATAAAATTGCTATGTACAATCTTCTTTTGCTTTAGTCCACGTGGAAAAAGATGGGCTGCTGTCATCCATATTTATACAAAAAATGGTTCCCATGTTCAACAGACCACCATGCTACTAATCTCCTGGCATTTTTTTTCAAAACCTCATTCTCACCCAAGATGAAGGTATATTTACTAGATCTGTGTTGTGAGCTTTTTTTTTTTTTTTTTTTTTTTTTTTTTTTTTTTTTTTTTTTTTTTTTTTTTTTTTTTTTTTTTTTTTTTTTTTTTTTTTTTTTTTTTTTTTTTTTTTTTTTTTTTTTTTTTTTTTTTTTTTTTTGATAGAACTATGGGATTTAGTAAGTCAGCAAGACTTTTTGTACATTTGGGGATCAGTGGAAAGAAAATGCTATTTCTACTTGGTGCTATTTCAGTGGATTAGGCGGTACTTCAAAACATACACATTAGCTTGAGTGATAACACCTCAAGGTCTCCCAGCTCTGCTGGGACCATGATAGCTTCCTTGATGCCACCTGAAATTCTTGCACGTATTTTTCATCATGGCACTCTTGATGCAAAGGTCTGGTACTCTGTGTGATAGAAATTCTACAATCATCTTGTAAGTGATTCACTATCTAAATGGCACTCAAGGAAAGCAAATTAAGAGTCTACTTCAAAAAAAAGAAAAATGTTCAAGTATAGTGCCACGTTAACAGTGGTCCTAAAGTTGTGTAAACACCACTGCTGAGTCCAGCTTTCAGTGGGTCCTTGGGTTTAGAGAAAGCAGTGAGAGCCATTGGTCTAGTGGCCCACTGCAGAAAATCACTCAGGGAAGTCTGCTGGGTACTACGTCTTGGAATACTCCCAATTCTCCTTAGAAACACAAACATCCTCTACTGGGAATATTCAGATGGATTGTTTGAAAAAACACAGCAAACATTTAATAAGTAGCCATATGTATATACATAATATTTCAACTCATATTCTATATGCTTCACATTTGTTGTTTGTCAGTTCTAACTGATTTATTCTAAGTGCTTTTTTTTTTTTTTTTTTAATTTAGAAGACATCATTTGTTGGTTTTGGCACTATAACTAATATCTGCAGATGTTGTGCTCAAAGCTGTTTCTTGACTATATTGACACTTCCCTATGTACAGCGTTTAAAAAATTTGGCCTGAAAGTCAAATTTTCCTATCCAAACTGGATATTTAAAGAGTGGTTTCACTTCTGCATATGTCAAGGTAATAACCATGCAGTGAAAATAGATTATAATGTGTATATGAGAAGCATCAAGCACAAAATTATTTGCTTTAGTAAGAGCAGCTCATTTAAAGAAATGTTGATTTGGGTCTGTGTATGATGTGTATATAGACATATTCTATTTTTTATCGTATTCTTTTCCATGCATTATTCAACTTATTGCGATCAAAAGTTACACCTTACATACAACAAAATATCATCAGGGCTCGGTTCTTCTAGCACTTAGTTTCCAAAATACCTGCAGTTTCACTGGTGGTAGAGGGTAATAAATTGGCTCATGGGGTTTCTTTCCTTCTTTTCCCAGCTCTAAGGCTCCATATGTCACCAGATGTCCTTCTTCCTGACTGAGATGTTTCTGTGGTCTTTGAAGACCAACTTACATATTAGAGGTGAGCTCTTCCCTGTTACTAAAACAAAACATCAAAGCTTGTTGATGAATATTAAACTAATGTAAAATTCTGACTACTCAAATGAAATGTTTTTTTTTTATACTTAGGAGAAATAAAATTAGGCAGCAGTATGGTATTTGAACTTGGTCAGCTTCTTTGCTTATCTTGCCGTAGAACTGGAGCATCCTTTCAAGTAAAAAATGTTAAGATTATATTTAATTGAAGATTATATTTCTCTTCTCAGGAAGCTATAGTCTGCTTGATTGTAAGCTTCAGTTTAGTGACTATTTTGGGTGAATGATCTATAGTCAAGTGATCTGCAGAGGCACTGATTTGTACTCAGTGGGAAAATAAGAAAATACTGCATGTTCTGGGTATTTTGCATAATTACTTGAAATTTTATGCTTGCAAGGACATATTTATCTTATTAATTGATTGTTCCAGGAGACACATGACTAATTACCAGCCATGTAGAAATTACCTTTTTCATTTTGCATTGCTAGTGCTAAAATATAATACTGAAAAAAACCCACTGGACCAAAGTGGACCAAATCAAAATATTATTTATGACACGTCATGACGATTGTGGTGTACAATACTTTTGCTGAAATATTATTTTGAATAATCAATGGATATTCAGTTGAATGCTATTATTCAAGTATTGTCTCAATGTGCCTTTGACACCCCATCTTTGTGTGAGAGCTGTTCTGTAACAACAAATAACATCAAAAAGTCAAAAGCTGTATTTCATACAAGGCTTAAGGAAATCACAGTTGTGATTTATTGTTGTTAAAGGAGTGTGTTACTGTGCCTATTTTCCACTTTTGACCTTCTTGCTTCCATTTATTCATTGCCTAGAGACCTTGCTCAAAAATTCTGAGGCAGAAGGGAGGACTGCTGTCCTGCTTTAAAACCTGCCTGCTGTTTCAGTGCCTTCCTACCTTCTTCTTCCCATGTGCGGAATTTCTCCCCATGGTATATCCCTGTCGGAGTTTAGAAGGAGATGCATGCAGTGACAAGCTAATTATTTTAAACAGATGCAATGTAACCCTGTTCTTAGGTCTAGTCAGTGGAACTTGCCATGGCACACCCAACTATTTACCTGTCAGCCACATCAGGAAGTGACTGGTGTGGTTGCAGTCTCAGTGTAGCTGAAACATCCAAATTTCTTCGCCATGGGAACCAGGTAGACGATACTACCTATAGATTAAGAATATTGGATCCTTTGAAAGAGCAGCTTTATGAGTTCATCAGTCTTAAAAAATACCTGTTGTCTCTAGCTCAGCTGTGTCAGTCATCAGAAAACACTGGAAACAAGTTATTCTAAGGTACACCTTTCACTGTGATCCTTACTTTTCCTTGTGAAAGAACACAAAATATGCTGATTAGGAAGGTGGTAAAAATACTTTTGCATGTTGGCAGCTGGAAGAGAATCAAAGTGTGTGTGAGGGAAATGACAGCTCCAAATAAATTTGTCACATCCTTTTTCATGCCTTGCCTGCTGGTTTTTGGAAGTCCTAATGGTATTCAGGCTGTATGCTGGGTTTTTTTCACTGTTGCTTGTATTTTAACACCTAACACTGTTTCAGCTGGCAAAAACTGAGATGCTGAACTTTGCTTGCTAAGTTGTGTTCTGTTTCTAGTGTCACATCCATAATGAAATGTATTAACTTTTTTTGTATAGATGAAGACATTGGGATCCACCAATACTCTGACAAGAAAGAAACAGGTAAAATATAAATAACCATAACTGAAACTAAACAAAACCTCAGAATGTTCAATGTTTGACACCAAAACTGCATCTTTGAATTTCTTGTTAGTACGTGTCTCTTTATTTCTATGGAGTAAGGAAGCACAGAAAGAGGTTCTGTCTCCCAATTTACATCAGGGTATTTGAAACCTTTAAACCAGAGAAGAAAAAGAAATTGGAAAAATATTTACTTTATGCCATTAGAAACCTCAGTGGGAATTTACACTCTGAATTCTTATGTTTTTTAAGATATTCTATGTTCTGCTCAGCCCAGCACATGCTGGGACCCCAGCAGAGGGCATCTCGAACGCGCCGCAGTGCCAGCCCGGCCTCGGCACCCTGCCTGCTATCTGAAATGGCCATTTCAGAGAGAACGATCCATTTTCTTTATCTGATTAATCCTGTTAATCCTACAAGTTTCACCACAGGCCCAAAGGTCTGTTGGGCTGGAATTACCCCCTCTTTGGGTCCAGGCTGGCGCAGTCATCCCATGGTCCACACTCCACTGTCTGCTGATAGACAGACAGACTCAGCCCAGTCCTGGGCTCAGTTGCAGCTCCCTTCACTATCTGATGAGACTGAGGGGCTCAGTAACAGCAGCCCACCTGCTGGGCTGTGTAAGCCTTTCTTTCACTGCGAATTTAAGGTATCTGTCTTACAAGGTGAAAACATCGGGGCTGTCTTAACTTTTTTTGTAAATTTTTGTGTTTTATCAAGCTGTGTGAGTCCTCAAATATTAATATTTGCTGACAGCAGTTATAAGGATTATCATTCATCTTTTCATCCTCTCTCCTTTAGCATCACAGATGAAGCACAGTTACTTAGAAGAGAAGCAAAAGCTAGGAGACTGTAAGGATATTTTCTGAGTTTCTTGTTACAGTAAGGCCAAATTGTTAATTTGGATTGGCGATGTCCCTGGAAAAGCATTAAAATAACCTCAGACTGCTTCTAATGTAACTTTCTGCACGTGTCATCTAAGGCAGATGGTCATAGAACTACACAGCACAAAACAATTCAAAACTTGTAATTATTCCTTCCTGGTATATTTGCAATCTGTTGTTTTTTTTCTGTCACTAAGAGTGGTAGCGTGTATTGCTTCTCAAATCCAGTGTCGAAAAGGATCACAAAAATAATACAGATTTTTCCATATGAAATTTTTGCTTAGCAGATGAGCAATAAACATTTTCCCAATCAGCTCTTGAATTGCAATACTAACTGCCTTAAAACTGAAAATTATAACTAAAGTACTTTCAGCCAAAATCAAATCCCAGATTAATAATTAGCTGCCTTCATAGAATGCTTTTAGCTTTGAAACATTTACACTATTACCTGGTTCAAGGCAATTTCAGTTCATACTACCACACAGCAGAACTGTGGCAGTTAAAGATTCTTTATATTTAGTACGATTTTTCTTTAGCTCAAGTCTTACAACTCCTGCATAGTTATTATTGCTCAGAACATTCATTAATGTTCAAACATTATTACATGACAACTCTGAAAAACCTAATTGATGTATTTTAGACAACTTCACCAAGGAATGTGTGTGAAAAACCTAATTGATGTATTTTAGACAGCTTCACCAAGGAATGTGTGTGCTGTTACCAGAATGAAAATTTCCACGGAATTTTGCATGCATTTGAAGGCAAAATGTGTTCTGGAAGGATGAGTTCTTTGCAGCACCATTAGGTGTGTTTGGAGCAGGTTGAAGCCCCGCTGGGATGGGTGTACAGGTTGATGCAGCCATGTGGTCCATCTACACCCACTGCAGAGGGTTTTGTGTCAGTGGCAGTCAATACAGCTCTGTAAAGGTGGGGAGCTGAGGAGGAGTTGCACACAGGGAGGAGCATCATAGGTTTACATCCCTTGTGCTCAGTGTGGGGGTTATCTTACAGGCACTGCATGTCTGAAAGGAGAAGCAGGCCCAGATAACCCCCCCTACACGCAAGCCATGGCTGTTACGTGTTATACATGTGACAGGGAAAAGGAGCACAAGCTGCTGCACTTCATTGCTCTGAATACAGGGGTGCCCTTGGCGCAAAGCCTGCATGGCACATTTTGGAAACAGGAGCAATGGGGAACTTTATTCACAGCTGTTGATTTGTACAGATAGTTTGGTATCTGCACAGGCAATTTCCCATTTTGCATATGTGGATAAGTATTCCAGTATTTATGAAGGCAGCCACTGAAAATGTGATCTTACATGCCTAATTAATATTATCATAATAGTTACACCAACACTGGCTTCAGTCCAATAAAACATAAAGAGAAGTTGTATGCTGGTGTCCTCTTTTGTTGATATATGAAATCCTTCATTTTTTCACTCTATAGCACTTCTATTGTAAGCTCCTTTTTGCAGGGAGGTTTAAGCATAACTGCTAAGTCATTCAGTCTGGAAGTTGGCATACAAACTGACAGCCTGGAGCTCAAAACTTTTCATCAGGTTTCCTTTAAATAGGAACAGATTTTAAACAATGTGTTCTAGTTTCTCATGGTTTTTATTGTACACTTATGAACAGAGAACTGCTCACTTTTAAATGAAGAAATTTCACAAGTTATTAGAGCCTGATTCTCAGCCATGAAACAAGCCAATTACTGGCAACTCTAGAGGAAGTTTTGCCTCCTGGTTACTAGAATTAATGTATTAGGCCAGAATTTTCACAATAGTGTGCTGTACATTGATAAATTTGTTAAAGAACTTCAGCAGTCATTCAGTTTCTTCTTTGCTTGACTTGGCAGATTCTTCAGACCAAATTTTCAAAAGCAAATCCTATAAATAACTATACTCTATAAGTTATGGCATTCACGATTGCCTGTTTTTAATACTTCTATATATGCATATATTCAGGCATATATGTTTTGCAGACATGTTAGTGCCTGCTTTTTGAAACTAGGCAATGAAATGTTAGTTCAGAAGAATAGAATCTGTTTAGGATTTGATAACTTAAATCTGACTTAACATACTGAACAGGAGATGCTTTTTCATTGCAAGCTGGGTAAGGTCCTGAGGACTTTATACATAATTGCCATGGGGAAGTCCAGGTCAGTATGGATAGATCATGCCAGCAGTTCCTATGACTGAGCCTTCCAAAAGGAGATCCTTTGACAATAGAAACCACAGCCAATTCCTTCCAATGGTGGTGGGTAAGTTTTACGTTTAAAGTAACTCCTAGGAATCTTAGTTTTGTGTTTCCACAGAAAAAGAAGCTCAACTTGAAGAACTTTTTTAATTATATGTAAAAATGTTCGTACACGTTCCCACGCATGCATACACACATGCACACGCATATATATTTATACAGTCACCTATATATACAAGTTTCTCTACCTTCTACCTTTTTTTTTTTTTTTTTTTTTTTTTTTTTTTTTTTTTTTTTTTTTTTTTTTTTTTTTTTTTTTTTTTTTTTTTTTTTTTTTTTTTTTTTTTTTTTTTTTTTTTTTTTTTTTACTTTTATTTGACAGCCCGAGATTATCCTTGGATCCTGAAAACCAAGAGACCAGACAGACTGCGAGATGCACTCAAGGAGATGGAGGTACGTTTCAGAAGGTTTCAAGTACAGTGACATCTAATCCGGTTTTCAGACCTCTTTCAACAGCTTTAGTTTTCATAAAGATCCAGCTCTCCCAGTGATGATAAATGTGCTTTTGTCTGGTGGGCTGTTCTAAAACAGCTGCATCTTTGTGTCGAATGCCTCATCTGTAAACTTGAAAAATCAGAACTCTGTTAACAGATAGTGACAATGTGTGCTGCCAACTCCACTCTCTGTTTTCTGTTGCCCTCTAGGACTTAATGCAAAACACTCCATGTGTGCTGAGCAAATGGAAGAACAAACATACCTGTCAGGTATTGTGTTATGCAGTGTTCAGTCAGTGGTGCTAAACAGCCATTCAGTGATGGAAGCAGTAGTGTTAAAATGTTAACTAACACTGAAAATCATTGGGCTTTTTTTTAATATATGGGCTCTTATTACCTAGATTGGATTTATTTCAATTTCTACTTTGAAATACATGTCTGAAATAAAAATCTGGGGTTTATCAACACAAAAAAAATTACATTAAGGGGCCCTGATTGTGAGAGACGATGAGGATGATTATTGCTGCTGCTGTTGTTATGGTTATTATTGCTCTTATTATTTGGGGAAACTGAAAACATCCTTTACCTCAGAATAGCAGGCTGAGGGACTGTTAAAATATATAGACAGGTCTGTGGAATATGACACATATAATATATGTTATATTTTTATGTCTTAATTGTTTTCACGTCTGTCACTGTTACTTTATTCTTGTGTAATATGGGAGGGAAACTGTAACTCTAAACCAACTAGATCATTAATCAAGTTATGGAATAGGAGATATTGTGACATGTGGCACACATACAGCTATGTTCTCTGGCTGTATGGCTTCCACACATTGTATACAAGAAAAACCTTTTCACATCCTCATTACGACAGAGCAGTGGGACAGGTAGGAGAGCTGAACGTGACATGTGCTTTAGCTCCTTAATCATGTGTTGCTTCTGAAAAACATATGTCATGAATTTTATATGTTTATACAGCCTTCATGAGGAATTGCATCATACTTGAAACTGCTTTGGCATGGGGAATACTTGTCAATATTACTGTTTCTAAAAAGAAATTTTGTCTTCTAACTTCTATGCTTTTTCAGTCTCATAATTTTTTCTTGTCTTTCAAATAGTGGGTCAACAGAATGAATATTAAATGTCTGAACATTATACAGCTAAAATTCCAGAAATGTCTTTAGGAATAGCAAAATGTTTAAACACTTGATATGCCAAATGGTGTGTCGTCTTTTCATCTCAATAATAAAAATATTGTTGTCTAAGCTACATTCGCCTATCAGATCTTACCCCTAGTTAATGTCTATCAGTCATGTACAGATTACACAGTATATATCTGTGAATGTTAATCTTCTAGAGCTTATTTAAATATTAATTGTATGCTAATTTAGAGGACTCATTTTTTCCTGTTATTATTGTTCTGATTAGGAAAGGAATTTGGTTAAGAAATACCAAGTCAATTAGCTGTGAGTGTATTCATTTTCATCCTGGTTTGCTGTCTCTTCATTTGCTTTCCCTGTCCATTCTTCCTGTATCATTTTCCTTCCCCTCCCATCTATTTGTACCCACCCTCATTCTTTACCAACACATACTTTGGAACAGTGAACCTCTTTCCAGAATGTGATCATTCTGCCTTCATAATATTATATTTTGATACCAACACCTTTGATTGACTGTCAGTTCCGTATAAAACTCTTCTTTTTTTATTTTTTAACTTAGCCTCTTCTAAGTAATTTCAGGCTGACATCAACATAAATGAGACAAATACAATTTTACTTATTTCTTGTACAAGATCAGAAAGAAAAGAGATGGGTGCTTTCATCTTAGTATATTAGGTCTAGCTCTATATTGGGTTGAATAATGTAAAGGAGTAGTTTAATTAATTGAGTATTTTTGGGGTTTCTGTAGATGGTTTTCATGAACAGATTATAAGTGATGATATAGGTTATAATGTAGCCAGAGTGAAAGTTATAGATAAAAATCATAGTCATTTCTCTGTCCTTAAATTCTCCTTTTGGTTTCTCAATTACAAAACAAAATATATTTTTTGCATAATAGTGGCTGATTATTGAAATCTCCAACAGAGCTCAGAATGTTTTGCCAAAACAATTGTGTTATTCCACTTTCTGTCTTCCTGAAAATAAAAGACCTCCAACAAATGAAAATAAAATAGAGAAAAAGTGAATCATTTGGAAGAGTCTAGAAGAGGAAAGCTGTCTTCTATCAATTTTGAGGTCAGATGGTTTGTTTTTCTGCTCCTCATTTGTCTTTGAGTGTTTTACAGCAATAATTGGACTGTCCCTTTTTGATGCAAATATTCTGAAGCCTCTGGAAGAGGTGTTGTATGTTTATTTTTTAATTCTATGTAGAATACTAATCAACTGTTTCAGCAGTAAGTGCTTACCACATAATGGTGGCATCTGTGGCATAGCAGCACTGTCTTCACAGCCTCTTTTGTATGGATACCAGAGCTAGTGGGAAGAGTCCAATTTGCATTAACTTTCAAGAGTGATAGAAAGCAATGTGTCAGAAAAACAGCGTTGAAGAGCATGTAGTGAATCACCCTGATTGTCATAATTTTGATATTTTGGGGTATATTTGAGTATATGGTTTAATTATAGATTTTTTTTTTTTTTTTGGTCTTTGGTTTTAGTAGCAATACATTGTCAAATAAACTCATGTATAGAAATTTAAGTATTTAACTCAACAGCCATAATATTTTTCCATAAATGTTCTTTGTCTTTGAATCTGCCATATCTGTAGCTGAACTAGGAGTAATACTCTTTGTATTGTAATAACAATGTGCCATCCAAAAAGTCAAGGGCTACTGGACCTTGAGCAAGACAGAACAAATAGAAGGAAATCTGAAGGGTGATACAATGATAACAAGACTATCCTTTAAAAGAGTAGTTGGATTTCTCTCAGATTTTGTGAAAAACAAGCACAGGACTGCTGCTAGTGTGCCTTCTGTAACCTAAATATCAGTATTCCTAATCCCTTACTGCTTCTTCCAGCACTTCCATCATAAAACTAGCCCACAGGCAAAAATTGGGGGCTATAATTTTACATACATATCTGCTAAAAATAAGCATGCTATCACGTTAACCAAATGACCAATTAGACCTCATGCATTTGCCTCAATGAGAAATCTTGTCTATTGCATGACTGCTTTTCTCAAAGTTGGCTTTTCTATGGGAGTTTGCCTAGAATGACCATAATGTTGGCCCAGCTTTCTACCTTTCTGTTCATTTTATGCATCAAAATGTCTCCTGTTACTTTTTGTGGTTTTTTGTACAATTCGTATTTACTTCCTTGTCCATTGCCAAAAAAAAAATCCATTGACCTTTATTTTTGCAGTGCTAAGTACACATTCTAGTATTGCTTAGAGCTTCTGAAATAAATGATGTGCCAGTTCATGTAAACATAACCTAGACAGTACCAGGGATTTTTGTCAAGGAGCTTGCACTCATATTTAAAAGAGCTTAGTTGAGTCCTAAAGGGCTGAGGTCTTCTCTTTAGCTCTCTTCCAATAGGATCTGAACCCACACCATTTCTCTATGGTACTTCTGACCCCCAACTTTGATGACCTGTGTTGAGTTGCTGAAATAATCCTATAATCTTCAGTTAGCTGATGTCAAAGGAAAATAAATAGACCATAAAAGAAGGATGATGGGAAAAAGACAAGAAGTCTTTACAATAAGATGCCACTGTGCTCCTCAGCTTTCCCTGCTGAGGAGTAATAACCTAAGGAATTAATTTTATCAGTATTGTTGAGTTTACTCAACTCAGCTCTGACTGCTTCCCTTCTTGGTCTCCATCTCTGATTCTTTGGAATGCTTTTAAGTTTTACCACAAAATCATGAAATCTTCCTATGAAATTATGCCATTGGTTCAGTTTGGTTTTACAATATAAGGCAGTAAAAATTAATGAGGTCTAGCCAAAACGTTTTATTTCCAACTTTTTTTTTTAGCTTTACATTTGCATTACGGTGTTGAATTAAACACATGCCAACACTGTTATACATTTTATTGTATCAGAGCCAAGCACTACCTATGAATCATATCTGTTACCTGCTAATGAAAAAGATTTATGTATTCTTTGCTAAATTGTTTTGATTTCATTTAATTGTGCTTGTGTTGCAGTTTACATATGCATATAAATGGTTTTTCTGTTGCCGTCATTGGCATACTTAGAACTGGATTCTGGACTGAGATCCACAGCCTTGTTTTCTGACGTGGCCTGTTCTGTCACCTACAATGCCCATAAGCAAAGTGATTTAGCAAGCTATGTGGTGACATAGAGCAGCACATTTGATATCAAAATCAAGACATTCTGTCTAGAACACATGAACAGCTAGCACCCATCACCAGTTACTGAGGGGAACGCTGCCCTCGTATGAAATTCTTTTGGTTGCTTTTGATCACAACCGTTAATGTGTTGTGTGGTTTTAGATATTTGGAGCTAGAAGTACAAATGCATTGATTATTGTGAAACAGTAACGTGTAACAACAATAACTTCATCTGTAATAAGGCATGCAACACAGTAATTATGGTGGGGTGGCTAAGAAAGCAATCCAGAATGAAGAGGTGGGGAAAAACCCTGGGAACCTGCTTGAACAAGAAACGCTTTGCAATTCTCTTCTCCTTTTGCATATTCCTTTGTCAGTTGGACTCTGTAAGGGAAAACAGTTTGCAGCAATATTTTTTACAGGCATATTTTCCTTCTCTTCCAATTTTAATCAGATAGAAGCAAATCCTGGCTTTGCTCCGTGGTTTCTTTTTAGGTAGAAGGGCTGATAAGCAGCTAAGCTGCATGAATGAGGAGGCAAGAGCTAAGGTTTCTGAGGGTAAAGGAATCCACTTAAGTACATGCTTAAGTTCTACTAAAATCCATAAGTCATGAACCAGTACTTAAGTCCTCTGCTTAATAAAAACTAACTCAAATATATATTAGACCACATTGCTACTGGGGAAGTGAAGGGCTCAGACTTCCCCTGAGTATCCTCAGCTCCTTCTTATGTCTTTCTTGCTCATTGGAGAACAGCTTTTGGCGCATAAAGTACATAATCCCTTTTATCAAAGTCTTCACATTCAGCTCCTCAGTAACACTGAAATTTAGTGGCCCTTCCTTCCTTCCCAGCGTGTAGAATGACCACATGCCCAAACATTTCACTCAGACTACATTCAAGTACAAAGGCTCTGCCTATTCTTCCAATAGCTATGAAGTCATGTTTTCGTATTTTGTTTAGGAACACCTGGAGACTGTTTAAGCTGTAGAGATTACTCTTCTGATTTTATTTTTCCCATCACAGTACTTCAATCTGAAAAATTTATGATGTGTTTCATTATTGTGAATTTCCTTCCCTAATTTAATATCTGTTAGATGGAATGATTTAGTGCCTGGTGTAAATAAAGCCTCTTACATTCGCTTTCATTCCTGAGAAATGATGGGCAGTTCCCTTGAGCAGTACTTTTTGGAGTTGAATCACTTTGTATCTGCGTTCAAGCCAAGTTTGCAATCTTCCCTATTTGCTTTATATTCGTTTGTACTTATTATTGGACTGCTCCCATCCACCAAAATGTGAGCTTAACTATGCAAGCGTATGTGTACCAGCATCTAACTCTTGTTGTCATGTAACAGTCTTTGCATAGACTACACTGTGAGAAACAAATTGAAATAGTGGTTTCAGTCTGAGCACATAAAAATTTTCTCTGTTGCAGAATATTTTTGACCACAGATAGTGTAGAATCATAGAATCATTTGGGGTGGAAAGGACCACTAAGATCGAGTCCAGCTGTTAACTTAACAGCACCAAGTTCATGACTAAAGCGTGTCCTTAAGTGCCACATCTACATGTCTTTAATACTTCCAGAGATGGTGACTCCACCCCTCCCCTGCTCTGTTTAAAGTACCTGCTTGTATTTCATGGTAAACTTTAGGAACTAATTTTTAAAAATCCTCAGTTCTAATCCATTTTTAAAGGAAGGTGTATTAAATACTGACCTTAAATGGCCATACAGGGTGAAAGAGCTCTGATTTACTTTTTAAATTTAGACTCTAAAGTTCCTAGAAGAATGAACTTAAATCTGTGGAGAAAAGGTATGTTACCAATCATGATAAATTAATACAGTAAAAATTTGTTAAAGTAAAATTTAAGTTTTTCCCAAATTTCTCAAACTTCTGAGGAGTGTAATGGAAAAAAATGTTTTACTGTAAATGAAAAATGGAAAAATAGTAAAAGCCATGGAAATTGTACTATTTTTACATGCTTTCTGTCATTCATCATGTCATACTGATAGCACAGAGATTTATGCAATGTTGAAAATCCATAACATTGGTTTAATGACTAATTTCATAGTTGTAAATCAAAGCACGCCCATTACCACAATATTTTATAATTTTATAAATGCCTTGTCATTAAACACTGGCATTACTTTCTATTCTAGCTCTGTAACAGATGTGATCCATGCCACTACCAGGAGATTATTATATAGAAATAAAGTGAATTTACACCCTGAGTTTAAAAATCCTAACCTTACTTGTTGCATTCAGGCCAAGAGTTTGCAAGCACATCTGTGCACAGGATAGTGGAGGGATGTCAGCAGAATGACAAGCATGTGGCCTCATTCCATAATGCAGTCAGTCAAGATCCTTAACCATCAAAACACATTTTTTCCTGTTTGGCCTCCCCTCATTTACCTGGATGGGTGGTGTGTTTCCCTACTCTGTCAGGTAAACCTGGAGGCTACAAAGAGAGTTCTGATTCACAGTGGGTTTTATCCCAGGTTAACTCCAGCTTGTTTTCCTTGCTCCCTGCAAGAAAAGGAGGCTTGGGAACAACCTACCATTACAGTAACACTTAATGAGGGGAGGACGAAGCTCCCAAGCAAAGGTGTTGTAGAAGAAACATATTGGAGAGTTTATTTGTATGATTGCACCATCTCTTCTGTTGGCACATAGCACGGAAAGATTTGGGGTGTTTTGCTCTATCAGGCTAATATTCATTCAGTTATTTAGATCTGAGCTTTCTAGAGTACATAATTTTTCTTGATCATTGCTTACACCACAGTTTGGCAACTGTTAGGTTTCAACCCTCACTTTTTCAACTAGGTTTTTCGGACATTTGTAGCTAACAGTAGTCAAACCTTGCTGGACTTCACGTTACCATGTTGGAAATAAATTGTGATTTTATCTGCTCTAACTTCAACGTAAGAACAAATTGAAGTTTTGAAAGATTGTAATAAAAGCTGCATGAGTGTAACCATGTCTAACATTTTTACTAGGACAAAACCTTAAAGGACATCTGTCATGACAGGGAATATTGAAACACTGACTATATATATTTATCAAGTGAATGCATAATTAGATTTTGGCAGGATGGAGACTGATAATTTTGGTTTTCAAAATTCATTTCACATCACAGGTATTTTTTTATCTCTATTTCACACATCACTAGAGTTTATTTCCAAAAAATGTTGGTTAAAGATATTAGTCAGAGCAAGAAGAAAATTTATTTAAATACACTTGTTCTGTTCTTTGCTAGGGAGAGCACAGAGCTGTAGTAATATAGCAAAATATGCATAACTGAGAGTTTCTGTAACTTAATTATCAGGAACAAAGCGTTGCAGAAGGGGCAAGCTCAATTAGATAACTACATTCATGTCTCCCATAATTTTTACTTATTATATAATCCAGTGGATCTCACTGCAAGAGAGTTCTAAAAATTATATTGCAAACATGTTTGTCTCATATCTCCAGCATAGCACAAAAAGGGAATTTCTTTCCTACCAAATTCTCCTACAAGAGCAAGTATTTATCTAGTAGTTAATTTTTTAAAAAAGCACAGAGATTTCTTAAAAAATCTGCTGTTAGGTAGAAGAAAGAGCTGGAGTTCGAGACTCCTGGCCTTTGGTGAGCCCTCTGGACTTGTTTGCAACAGTCTTTCCACTGAGGATTTCTTTTATGGGTTTTATTTTCTGATTTCCTTTGCTGTAGTAGTTGCATTCAGAAAATAACTAATGGTTTTAGTATGCAAAAATAAATGTTTCTCATAACTCCTCCCGCTGAGAATTCTCTCATACAAGATAAGGCATCAGAAGGACCTGGTAAATACTGTGACTTAATCTTCAAGATTATATGTATCATTTAATTTAAATTAATTACACAGAATTATTCAATTAGCTCTGAAATAACCTTCTGACTATTCTGTCCAACCACTTAAATTCTTTCTTTCTAAGAGAGACATCTGTAACCTTATGTTGAGGAGTGAATGGGGTTGATTGGGAGCTCACAGCTGTCTCTGTGGTAGGGCATCATTATTTAAGTTAAACAGTATGTGAATGATCAGAAATAACAAGCATAGCAAAAAGGTGCTGGTTTTAATCTGTGATAACAATATAAAATTACATTAAACCCTACTTTATATATTTTGTCATGCAGGCTGTGCAGTTATTTTATACGGAAAAGATCAGATCCATGGGTGAGAGAGTGATCAGTGTCATTCCTTCCCTCACTCAGGATAGAATTTTGATCTCCATTTTTAAGAAACTAATTCAATATGTTATATAACATTTGGGGACTTAGCATGCTGCTTCTTCAAGTGTTCAGCAGTTGTAACTCTCATACCCCTGTAATTCAGTGTTGTGTTTCATCCCTCTCTTTCATTGAAAAAGCTTTCAAAGTCATTATAAGACATCTTCACGTCAATGATAATTCGTTTTTGTAATTTTGAAAATTAGGTTACCACATAATGGATGGGGGCTAATATGTACCTTGGAACGTTTCACTTTATTAATGATTTTTGGTGTCTCGTTTTCTCGCTCTTTGGATTTAGCTCCTCTTTCACTCAGGTGTCTTGGTGTCCCTAAGCCTTTCTGGGCCACAGCTGGAGAAAGTGGTGATTGACAGGACCCTGGTGGGGAAGCTCATCTCCGACACCATCAGTGATGGTAATTACACCCATGTGCAAATCAATTGCCTGCATTAACAATAGAGTAGAGAAATAGTATGTCAACAGGTAGACTAATTATTGCCACTGGGGACTTGCAAACACAACAAGTAATTGCATGTAATGCCATAGTTACAACCCTCAGGACTAAGAACACTTTAAGAATAATATTTAACATCAAAGTTTTCAGGCTTGTCAAATGCTGCATGGGTTTCTAAAATTCAGTTTCTTACACACTGTGATCACTGTGAACATGCCATTTGAACTTGTCATGTTTATTTTGTTAAGTAGGAAAAAGGGACAGAATCAAACATTTAATTACATGAGATAGTTATTATTAAAGTTATTATTAAAAAAGGCTGGATAAGATTAGCTATGTGGAGGTATTTGATTTAGTTTCTAAAAATCCAGAATCTCACTATTGTTATTAACTAGTGACTGCTAAAAAGAAAGTTTTCATTTAATGCAGAAAGAAACTTACAAAAACATGCCTGTTTTCCATACCTTTATAATATGACTATCATATCACTGAGAAATAATCAGGTATCTTGGCTTCTGCACACGCAAGAATATGAAATGTTGATGTGAGCCCTATTACGTGTGAATTATCTTTCAAATTCTTTAAAAGTAGACCCACATTATATCCTTCTAGTAAGATTATGTGCTTAATTCAGGTTTGATCTTTAATGATTTATTTTCCTCCATACCCAGGCATCTACTGAATGTTGGCCTGGTTCTTTAAGAAACCTAGAGTACTGTGTCCCTCTGATCTTTTCTTATCAATGTATTGTATTTAAGTCATGAAAATTAACATTAATATGTTAGTAGAATCTTTATTTATAAAAAAATTTAACTCTAACCTCATTTTTATCAACTAATTACGCAGAGAGCATAGAACACATTTACTTTCTTCACCCTTTTTTTCCACTTTTCAGTTAAGTTACTGAATTCCATTTCCAGTTTTTTGCCCTGAGTTTCCAGAGGGAGAATATCATACTTTCAGGTGACAAAAAGTAGGAAAGCATGGAAGCTAAGGTTACACCCAAATTGAATTTCTTTGTAGAAATTATTTGGAATACTCTGTCTTTAAGAAAAATAAAAAATTAAATTGAATGTATCTTGCCTTACTTTGGCTTAATATGTCATAGAAATACAATATTTGTCAAAAAAATACTGCTAACTAAAAAAACTTACAACTAAAAAAATAATAAAGCAACAAATATGCTTTCCTACATTTAGACCACTGTATTTATTATATAAACAACATTATTTAATATTTGGTCCTCATTTTCACTTATTCAAGATTTTCTTAAACCTTCATGTTCACTAATACCCAGGTCCAAAGGTGAAATAAAACTGCCTCTGTTCCATTAAAGCAAACCACACAATAACTCATTGCAATACAGTTTTTGTTTTCATGAAGAACAAAAAACACTCTTGTTACCCAAACAAATAGTGTTTAAAATACAAATTTTTATACTGAACTATTCCTATGTGAGAACCACAACATAATGTTGTTCCAGAGGAAATTAATTAAAAAAACCTGCACATCTTTCCAAATCTGACTTGGAATTGGGGTTGTGATTATCAAGTTGGCCAAGAGAAATTCTGTATTTAGTACGAGAACTCTGTATAAAAATAATATTTCTTTCTTTAGCAATTGTGTATGGAAATGGATAAGAATTACAATCTGCCAAAATTACTTATGAAATGTTGTAATTCTAATTTGGAGTAGCATGTCCTCTTAACATTTGGAATAAAGGTCAGATTGTGTGCACAAAATCCAGAATTATTACTGCTTTTATAGTGCTCCTGCATCTAATAAAGTCCTCCTAATTCTGATTATTTATAGGCAAAATTTCATCAGCATCTGTGGTGTGCTGTGGCTCATCTTTAATGTAAACTGTGTCTGTGAGGACATCAAAATATTTTAACTGTGTGCATACATATTGAGGATACCACAGTCAGTGGTTTTCAACTTTCATGTGTGTGCAGGATCTCAATTATGGCACTAAGTTATAGATCTCAGTTATAGTCAGATACTTTATCACCTTTTTTTTTTTTTCCCACCAAAAAAGCTAGTGTTAATGTTACATTTCAAAGGCAATTATTTGGCTTTAAACTCTACCCTTTAGCATTTGCATACCAGATACTTTAGAGTTGTGCCGGGATATGGCTGCTGGAAAATGCAAGTGGTTATAAATCAGACTAAATCAAAGCAAAGCTGAGTAGCCAGTTTTCCACGCTTCTATGTAAGACCAAACTGTCAATCTACTTAAGGATATGTAAAATTTAGATTTAAGAATCTGGTATATTAGTAACAAATGCTTTTTTTAGTTTGTTTTTCAGGGATTGTTCCGCAGGGTCCTGTTTGTTTGTTTTTAAATCCAGTTCCACTTTATTTAGCGCTTTTTTTTTTTAACAGAGGTGTCTGAGTTTGCAGTCTGAACACAGCTTGTTAGCTTTTCTTTAAACTTGTTTCTCATCAATTATTCCTCAGTGATCTGGTAGTAGTTACTCTGATGACTCACTTGATACTCAGACATCTCTTTAAATGTGGGTGCTGCTTGAATAACTGGGTAACACTTTGGAAAAATCCTAGCTACTATTTTCTAAGTAATTTTCATTGACAGATTAGTTAATCACTTTTGTATGGAACTATTTTGGTCCAACACCCCCTTACGATAACAGCAGGGATTCCACTGGGCTTTTCCAGACTCCAGGGGAGTCTATTCCATCTTGATTATTTGTATTGTTTGGGTACCCCCACATGTGAAGCTTTCATCAAATTCATAAGCCCTCTAAAGCATAATCCTGTGTGTCACAGCCTCCTCAGTGTCTGCAGCAGCACCAGGAACCTTACAATGTCAAATACCAGATACACCTCAAGTACTAATTTGCATTTATCACCCTTAGCACAAACTTATTTATGTTGTATTAGGTGCATTTCTGAAATACTGGTGGATGTAACCATAAGAAAAAAAATTATTGAAGGCTGAACTGAGATGAAAGTTAATATGGAAGGGCATAAAACATATATTTGGATGCAGTGGCAATTTGATATGAGATAATTTATTCAGGTTTGTGTAATCAGAGTACTCCCTAGGCTTTATTTCTCATTTCTGAGAAGTTCCTGGCAGGATGACACATTGATGTCTTTTAGGACATTACAGGGCTTTCAGTGCAATATTTAAAACACTGTCTTGAAAAAAATTGCTTTTTGCAGTGTCCCAATGGAGTGTTCAGTACTTTTTTTTTTTTATTAGAAACAGGTATTACATTACTGACAGTTTTCATCTGGTTTTTTTTTTTCAGCTGTTCTTTCAGACAATTTCATCATTTTGTCATTTGAGGACCATAACCAACTCTGCTTTATTCAGTTTACAAAGAAGATGGATTCTCCCGATGTAAACAAAAGACTGGAAAAACTCTCCTGTTTGGACCTTAAGGTATGGCTGTCAATGGTGACTGCAAATATTGCAGGAATTGTACATTATGAATCACTGATACGGTATAGCAGCATAAATTGCAAACCTTTATATAACTAACCAAAGCAGCTCAAATTCCAAAAATGACAGTTACCAAAAAGTAAAAATTAAAATAAAATTATATGACATTCTGAGTTAACGTGTTAAAATACTGAGCCAAGAGGGATCCAAATTTCTACTGTATTTACATTTGGGCTCAGACACACATTTGAGTGACCTCTGCTTGACAGATTGACCTTGTGTCCATTGAGCAGCAATAACTGACCCTTTGCACATTCTTGGCATCTAACAAGCATGAAGCAAAATCTGTAATTGTAAACCTTACTGCAAAAGATTTAAGTTAATGTGTTTTACCTCTTGTTTGTTGTGGGCTGGAAATACACACACACACGGTCAATTACTGTGGCTCAGCTGATACACACGAACTCATGAAGCTCTGATACTTCAGCTGTCTGTCTGAGCTACAAGACTGCTGTAATTCCTTGCAGAAATCTTAATTTTTCCCTCTAGTTACAGTAATGGAATTGTTGGGAGATCGCTTTTACAATTAAGCCACTGAGTTAGGACTCAAGATAAAGAAGCTGAGTTTTTTGCCGCTGGCAACTATATATGTGACCTTAGGCAATTGATTTGGTGCCAGTGTATGTCAATTCACTAGTTACACAGTGAAGATTAAAACACTCCTTTTTTCCAGCCCTTTATGTGTAGGTTTGTCTATACCACAGTCACAGCAGCAACTGAAAGTAGCCTAGAGAGAGCTGAGCTGGCTTTAAACTATCCAGCCTGTATGTCAGTGGAAACCAGCTCATCTCAGGCTGAATTACACTGTATCTTGGATGGATTGGGCTGTGCAGACATAACTTATTTCAACCATAAGCTCTTTGGCATCAGGGCAGTCGCTGACCTTAGGTGGAAGTGCTTGGTGCTACAGCAGTATGAAAAAATAATCAGCCAAGGCAATTAACTTTGAACAGGTGAAGTAGGAAAGGGACTGCATCCAATTCACTGCAAGAATGAAGAAGGGTCAAGCCTTTGTCCAAGAAAGGTAGAAAGATGCTGTGAGCAAAGGAGAGAGTTTGTATTTATTTCAGACTGGGTAAATGTTAAGGAAAACAATCTTGTGCTAGCAAATATTTTCCCCTTGACAACCCCTTAGTAACTTGCTAGCTGATATAAGGGAGCTTGCATCCGCAAGGCAAGTTTTTTAAGGATATGTTTAATTTAAGTTTTGCCATAATGTGTTTTAACTTGCTTGCTAGAAATACTTTCTGCTAGGATTAATATCTAATACATTTTCCAGGCTGTTTCAGTTCAGGGCCTCTTTTCAGGAATGGCTTGTGTTTGCAAGATTGATCCAGCCTCCATAACGTGGATTTGAGACAGTTCACTGTTCACTGGGAACTGAGCTGATACATACTTTACTTTAAAATGATGTGCCTTGTGCCTGGTTGAGGCTGTGCTGTGGAAGTGAGTGTGGTGTGTGGTGTGGCTTTTTTTTTTTTAATAGTGCTAAAGTTTAACGAGGAAGCCATGGTGAACTGACAACTGCCTTTGTCACTGGAGTGTGAGGGCCACAGCTCCTGACTTAATGTTCGGAAAAAAGAGAAATATCTGCTGCACTCCTTAATGGGGTTGTTAAGTTTTCAGTTCTTTGCTGACACAGCTGAGCTTCTCAAAACACCTCCGTGTTCAATGTTAACTTTGCTTTCTCTTGAAATCAGTGGGAATCACTATGGAATACTTCACTGCCAGCCAAAAAAAAAGGCATTTGCATTTTTTAATTGAATGTCCTTTTGTGTGAGGCTTGCTAGTTAGGCAGCTAAATATAATTTTTTTTATCTTCAGAATTGCACCAGTGTGAGACTGCAGGAAGTATTATTCACTGCTGCAATAATATTATGTCAGCTCTCTACGTTGATTTAGAGTTCTTCATGGCTGATTTTGGTCAAACTTCCAAAAGCTGAAGATCACAGAGTCAGCACTAGTGCCCCTGTCAGTAGAAACAAAATGGTCCTCAGTTGGAACTGTGCAAACCTGTAATAATATGTAACAATAACAAATGGGGGAGTGGGTAGGGAAAAAAAACATTCCTTAGAGTTGATTTTTTTTTTCCAAGACAAATTGAATCAAAAAGATAACTTGCACTGGTATAGAACTACCACAGGATTAAAATCTGGAGCCAAGATTCAGGAAATTTGATGGTAGCCTTCGCTTCTGCCTCTGACTTTTGGTGTAACCTTGAGAAATGTACCTAGTATTTGGGTTTAAATTCCTGTTTCTAAAATGATATAATTAAATTTCTGTCATATTATCGTTGTAATTACAAGCAACTTCACACTGTTTGGTGTCCAGGCTCGTGGTGGACAAAATTGGAAGCAGTGTTGGACTGCCAGAGTGCTGTCAATAATAAGAACAAGTCAACCATGCTTTCCTCCTCACAGCTTGATATTTATCCAGAAGCTGGGTTTTTTACACAATGCATACCTGAATGAAAGAATTAATCTCTCTATCCTCTTCCTTTCTAAATGATACCATCTTGAATTTTATTTATGCTTTGAAACAATAAAGGAAAATTTATTATATGAATCACTACAGTCTTGAACACCAGCAAAACACAATATCAGCTATTATCATTTGCCTTTTCTCAGTGGCATGAGTCCATGTTTGAGAGTGACATGTCTATTTGAAGACATATAGCTTTACAAAGGATTTGTGGATGTTATTACATATGGAATTGTTATGAACAGTTAATGCTACTATACAGGACTAATTAATTAATACCGGTGGAAATATTTGTGCTTTTCCAACCTAATCAACGTGTTGTCACCCAGTTAACTATTTATATACAGTTCTAATTCAAGTAGCAGCTACCTGTTAGCTTTTGTGTATGTTTTATCTTTCTTTACACGTCTAAGTATTTTGACAAGTAAAAAACAGGACATTCTGAAAATATTGACCTTTTGCAAGTTTTTCCTGTCTGTGGTTTTTTAATCCATTTCAATTTACTCAAGGAGACAGAATAAGGAGTTAAATGTTTACCATGAGAGAACAACATTGGTAATTACTTTGATTTCAGTTCCTTTTGATGTGTATTCAGGGGATGAAGAGGTCAATAATATTATGACCATGCAAATAGAAAAGGGTTCTTTTTGACCATATAAAAACCAGCAAAGGATTATTAAAGCATTAACCTTGATTTTAATGGCCTTGGTTGAGAGCTGAGATCACAATTTGGATGAGCCTGATTATTTACTAAATACAATACATAAATGCAACGGGTTCTTAACACCCATTGCACTCTGGCATTATCGCATTACTGCCAGCCTTTGTTGCCTTGCAGACAGGAATATGAAAGCAATCTGTCATGTAGTGAGACTGGCTCCAGAAGCATTTCTCTGATAAGAAGACCCCCTGCCCTTTGCTAGTGTCTGGTCCAGTAGGCTTAGCCATGCGCTTAATCCCCAGAAAGTGGTTCGATTATTGCTGACCAGCAATGGCAAGATAGTTTTTTTTTCCCCTAGCTATCAACCTTCCATTAATTCCTTAAGCAGAAATGCGGTGCAATCTATATTTCCTTGGCATGTGTCACCCAGATGGTGCACTGCTCATGTTTTCAAATAACCATGCTCCAAATAACAGAGTTTGAATAATAAATTCCACAAATCCTTCCCGAGGAAGAGGCACAATTCTCAAGAGCTGCATAAACTTTACGCATGATGCTGTAGCTCATCCACATTATGCAGAAAAGTATATATTCTTTTGCAAAGCAGATGTTTGTGTTTGGACTCCTTAATTTAGGGAGGAAAAAGCAAGATATATGTTTGCTCAAATGCTGTAGAATATATTTAATATTTGATTATGTCTTAAACACTAGCCTTAGCTCCGTGCTCAGCTTTGCAGAACTTGTCATTTAATATGGCTAAGCTTAAATCCTATGTGGAGGTCGATGCTGTCAAGCAACCATGACTGTACATTTTGGTATTGATTGGAGTCATTGCAGTAAATTCCTTCTTAACTCATATTCCTTTCCATCCCAATCCCCTCCCCACAGATAAAAGGGTGAGCATGTCTTTTTCTGTCTGAGGAGGTATTTTTCGCGTTTACAGACAGCCTATATGAAGATATATGTACACAGTACTCTGTGTGTATGTATACATTCTTTTTCACACACCCAAAGTAAATGCTCCCATTTGCTCCCACTATGCTGTTTTATCACCTCTAATATTTCCTACATTTTTTTCTTCCATCAGATTTCTTATATTGATATACTTGGACCAGAAGGTAGAAGGATGAAACGTCACCTGGCAATAAACTGTATGCAAGATATGGTCATTTGCTGGTGGTCAGCAACTAGTGATGGAGCATGGCCTTGGTCTCCTATTTCCTGTGAGAGGGACAGAGCCAACCTATTGCTATTAGGCTGTGCACATGGCAAATTGGAGGTAAAGTGCTGAACTCTCTTGTTGCATGATTTTTTTCAGATTTGCTAAAGAAGGAACTCTTCAACTTAAATGCATATTCAGCTAGGTATAATGAACAGATACGATCAAAACATAGGAAAGGAAGATCAATCATGCTAATCTTAAAAACAAAGGTTTGTTATTTAATAAAAAAAGCATCTTCTTTAGTAAGTTTACTATTTTCACATTAAAACTGGAAACCTGAGAAATGTAGCAAGGAAGTTATGTCTTTATCACGGAGTAGCTTTGGTGTTGCTAAAACTGAAAATAGAAGTGTCAGAGTTCCGCTAGAAAACTGAGTTAGGAGTTGTAACTGTTGTATGCATGTCTGATGCAATTATTTTATGTTGTCTGCAGTGTTAACTGATAGGCGTTTTACATCTATTTCAAATGTTTTGTTATAAAATTCTGTTTACGCCCAGATGATGTTTAAATTGTTGATACGTGTATTGATCAGATCAGGGACTGATTTTTTTCTAAAAGAAAAAGTCAAAACTCCCCATCTACAGGTGGGAATGTAAGATGCAAGTTAGGACAAAGCTACCTCTTCCTGACACCTGCTTAGCTTACCTTTTTAGGCAGATGTTTCCATTTCATCTATTTAATTTTTATTTCATCTATTCAAGAATCTTTGAATCCAGTTTGTTTTGTCAGGTAGAAAAATAAAAACAGAGCCATCTGGGCACACTCTGAGAGAACCGGAGCCTGAATTTAAAACATTAAAGGTTTTCTGGACTAACATCTTGTAGAGATGCTCCTGTATTTGGAATTTTATTTTCAGTTTATCTTAAGCCACTTCTAGTATGGACTAAAAAGGCATTGACTGTGGGGGAAGAGCACAAACTTGAGGATCAGCTGTGGAATAGATGTTCTGGATTAGCTATTAGAGACTATTCCCCTATAGGGAAAAACCCTAAGTAACACTTTAAAATAAGCCACTCTTACAAACAGCATCCTGTTCTCTTTAATTAGGGAAGATGTAAATGTTTTAATGTCTTGGAACTATTACTTTGATAACTAATATTTGAGTGAGATTTTTTTTTTCCCTTGGAGCTTTCTATATATATTGAAAGCCAAAGAGAAAAGGCAGTTGAGACAGCTTTTCTTTCGTATTTCTGTCATTAGTCACTGTAGAATTGAAGTTTAAATTACCTCCAGCTCTGCCTTCTTTACTTCTTTTCAATTGACCTCTCTCCACTTGCGGTCATCTTTGACTCATCTCTCTCCTCTGCCTGATCTACACCTGCAGTTCTCCATTCCCCCTGCAGCTATGCCAGATCACACAGAAAAATTACTCTGGGAGCTAAAACACGTGGCTGTTCTTTGTAAGCTTTCCCAACCTAGTCTCTGTGCCAGTTTGATATTATGAAACTTCATCCTACTAAGATTTCAGACATTATTCCTTGCCATGACTTCCGTATGTCCAGGTTCAGACAGCAACATTCCCATGCCTTTTTTTTTTTTCTCTTTTTGCATCTTCCAGAAAGCTCCCTGATACCAGCATAGCAGTTTGCAATCTCTGTTTTCTGAGATGTTGTTTAGAGACTCTTTTCTTCTAAGAAATTCACAGAAACCACCCTGTCAATTCAAAGCTTTCTGTGTTTCAATTTTTATCTTATAGGAAGATTCCCAAAATTACAGCTTTCCTCAGCATCTCTCTGTACACCTAGTTTTATCCTGTTCTGGCTTAGACTCTGGTATAGTCCTAAGCACATCACCGGTGGTTTACACAGTGAAGATAACTAACATTCACTGAGGCTTTAGGCCTCATAATCATTTTAATTTGGCCCATATTGTAATAGCAATATAAGAAAACTCTTTTTAAGAGCAGAACTGCTAAATTTGACTTCAATTGCTTTCCATTTTTTGATTCTTTGTCTGTACTTGTCCGTTTCAATTCTAAGATCTTCGGATGAAATTTCTTTTCCCGTATTTATCAATAAAATACAAGCACTGTGCCAGGGCTATGGAAAACTTAGTCATATATGAATAATAAACTGTCTTGCTGGTTGTCAGTTAGGTTGTTCCTTGTACTTGGAATGTTCAGTAAGGCTCAAGACACTCTGCCTATACACGTAGCCTATAAGTATAACCTATGATATTATTTCGCTGAGGTTTTTAACTTAATTTCTCTAGTATTCCTTATGGGCAGGAGTTAAATTCCTGTGCATGGATGGCAGAATGCCACAACCCAGCAGTTCTAGAAGTAATGTCAACCCCCAACCTGCATTTAACTGAGGTATATTTTTCCCCTACAGAGTCTTGGTGGGGGACACTAACTTAACACCCTTAACTTCTGAGGGTCACTTGATAGCTTAAACATGAACAAAAACATAGTTAGCTTTTCTAGAGAGCTCTAAATGGCTGCTCTCCAGGTTAGACACCACAGAAATACAGTGATTCTGTAAGCATGCTTATTTTCCTCTCTTTATCTCTACTCCCTTACCATTTGTAGTATTCTTCAGGTAAATAAAAACAGAGTGTGCCATTGTTATGTATGAAAGTAAATCCATATTTATCATATCTGACCAGTTATATGAATTTTCTCCCAGTAAATGATTATTGTCAACAGTAGAAGAATAAGAAGCATGAGCTGATTCAGTTTAGAGCATTTACCATAAAGAAGTGTAATCAAGTAATATCACCATTTTACTTGAAAATAGCAGTATCAGTTGGATAAAGAAGCATTATTATCTAGAATTAAGAGAAAAACAGAAATTGCTGAATATCAAGACCATAAAGAGCTGTTTGGCATATTGGGTTTGTGAAACCAAGCCCCGGGAAATGAATGGGTGCTACCTGCCCACAGCCATTGCCTCATTGCTGACCTTTGGAAACCACAAAATGACCTGCCAGCTACTGACACTCACGTGTTGGGGCAGAGCAAAGGTAAGCAGGAGCACTTATTTGATACTACTTCCTGCCTGGAAGAATTTTCTGAGTATTATTGGCTGCTCCCCAGAAGAGTGTGTATTAGATGAGGACAGGAATAGCTCTGAGATGAGGCAACCCCTTGTCACGATCATTTCCTGTAACTACACGTTCTGTGCTGGGATGATTCACATTGCCCATGGAGTATTTGGGGTATTGTGTACCTCAGCAGCTTTTTAACTTCATGAAAGAAATACATTTTACTTTTTAAATACACTCTAAATTTGATTTGAATTTTCCTATGTGGCTTTATGTTTTAGCATTTGCTGCGTTTAAGGCTGTAGGTAAGCACTATTCCTCTAAAAACAGAAAGAACTTTTTCCTTGCAAATCTCAACTTATTTTACTGAGTTTTTTTTCTGAGATCAGTGTTTTTACTGTGTTGAATGCTTTAAGATCGGGTGAAGAATTGTCCCATGAAGAAATAAAAGTGCTTTTCTCTTAAGCATTGTCTTTGCTTTGGTGTGTGATGTACATTTGAATACATGCATCCACGTTGCTCCAGGAGTATTTGTCTGTTGGACCTTTGTCTGCTTTCCTATGTGCATTGGTTTCCTCCAGTAAACTCACCCATTCTCTAATTTATTTATTTAATTATTTGGTGTTTGTTTGGGGGTTTTTCTATGTTAAAGTATCAGTCATCAATCATGTTATTTAAATTGTCTCCATGTGGAGATAACACTGGTGTTTTGTTTTCAAAACCAGAAGAGGAATCTTCCAGAAATTATTTCAAACAATTTGCTATGAATAAAAAGGATCTGATGTGAAATCATCTTTGGATTACCTACTTTGAGAGAAAGTCCTGTTGAAATCAACATGAACTTTATTCTGCAAACAAAAATTAACAGGAGGTGCTGATGCCAGGGCTCAGTTACTGTAGTACTTTGCATTTGTCTTTGCCATGTTTATTTTCCCTCCATTTAGTGCTAATGTGAATGACTGAAATCATACTTCAATCTTGTGGAAAAATTAGCTTCCCTGAGAGAGCATATTATTTTTCTTTCTCCCAAGAGAATATATTTAAATTATTGCATCCACATGGCACCTCAGATTTGTGAAATAAACACAGCAGATCTTTTTTTTGTGCCCTGTCCTACAGTTACTGTAGTGCTCAGAAAAACACCCACCGTGTGTGACTGAATGACTGAAATACCTCTCATACACATACAGCAAAGAATGTAAAATCCTCCATGTCACATTGGGTTAGAAGTTCAGTGAATAATACGGGATAAAGATGATGATTATGATAATTTTTGAAAGAAAATAAGAATAAATGTTGACTGGAGATCTAAATAATAAGATTGCATGTAGGACTGTAGGCACAATGCAGCCAAAGTAGTAACCTAGAGTAGGAGCCTTGCATTTTTATTTTAGAAAGGTTTTGAAATAAGGTGGGTTTTTTCCTTTCATCTTCACAGTGCTGTATTTAGAACTATTTTACTCTAGTGTGCACCACACTTCCCACTTTACATTTCTAATTAGAATGTTTGTTGTTATTTGGAACCTCACTGTGTGAAATTAAATAAGCACTTCTTTAACATCCATAAAATAAATCAAACATTTTTTCTCATCTGAAAGACACACAATTCAGTCACAGCAAGCTTATTTCTCTGTTTCTTTTGTTTTCTTTTTTCATCTGCCTGGTAAGCCAATTTTCTGCTTAAGAACTACTGGTTAAAACTCTTACTTGTTTTGATATGTGGACTTTATCCTTTCCCAGTATTCTGTGCAAAGATTTGCATTGAGAAGAACGATACTGCCCACACAAGTTAGTGCTATTATTTTTTCTCAAACGTAAAATGAAAGAAAGTGTTTTAACTAGCAGAGTTCAGGTCCCTTGTTTATGAAGATTAAGAGATTCCTTTACTAGGATTCTTATGATTCCTGACTCTAGGATTTGAGAGCCTGGCATTGTAGCATCCCTCATCCTGCTGATGAGCAGATGCAGAGCTCAGGCCAGTACTGCAAGAGGAAGACAATATAAATGTGCAGTAGTGGTGCATGTCTGCCACATTAATAAGGGAAATAAGTATAAATTATGTGGACAATATTTAAATGCTTGTACTGTATTTTTGTAGCATTCACATCACAAAACTAAAAGGAACTTTTAATTTTTTTAATTATTTGTGTATTTATTTTCCACAAAGTAATTGGTGTTACTTCATGCAAAGTACTTCCAGAAATCTTTCCTGGAAATCCAAGGCTAAGTGCTTAGGCCAAGATTTATGGAAAGTACTTAACACTGAAAGAACTGTACACCCTGCCATGTGACCTTACAGCTTAGTGTTTCAGATCCACTGCCATGTCCCCTCCTCCAAATATCTGACAGTTGTCCTACCCAATTCTGAGGAAACTCCTCCAGCTTTTGCTTCCCCGTTCCCTAAGGAAATGATTTGTTAACTCCTTCAATGAAATTCCAGAGAACTGCTGCTTACCAGGAAGGAATCCCACTGAATTCCTTTAAATGGACCGCTAAAGCACTATGTGCACTACATTTACCAGCAAGTGGCTACTTACCAGATACAAGAAGAGTTGGCAGAATACCATCTTCTTGGGGAAGAAGAAAAGTTTTGATTATTAGACTTCTTATCTTTCAAAAGCATTATTTTAGCCTTATTAACATGTCTCTGTAACTGTGTGTCTCTCTGCTTTACTTTTCCAGTTAGCGGCATGAAGAATGAATAATAAAAAGTAATTTCTGACAGAGAAACTCAAATCTTCCCTCTGAGATGAAAGGGAACATCCATTTTTTTCTCCTTCAGAATGCCAAGTGGCAGTTACATTCAGTAAAACTGGAAGCCAGAACAAAGAGGTCTCTCAGCTTGATACTCTTCCTGCAAGAGGCACATGAGGCCACTGATGCATGAGATCCAATCTAAGGAGAAATGTTTCTCTTGTTTTCAGCCAGAATATGAACAGTAGTGTCTTGAAAAGTTTCCTTTAAGCCCTACGTGTTTAAACATTATGCCAAAACTTATGTTTTGAAAGGCAGCAAATAGTCTTTCTCTCCTTGCAGGAACTTTTTCCTGGTTTAGAATTGTGTTATATACATCAACTAGCCCTACCCTAGACTTCATTTCAAGGATTTGTTCTCGAAATTATGTGAAACTAGGAAGCTTCTCATCTCAAGACTCATTCGATTAGCCTTCCAAAATGCAAGATTTTACTTTCTTTTGAATTCAAAGTAGTGGTCATCATTTTGTCCTACTTTTGCTCTAAGAAGGCAGAACAAAATTATGAATTGGGTGCAGTTTACTTGCTGACTCTGAGACAATCATATGGTAACGTTTACTTTTTTGTGACTGTTTCCATTGCTTTTTTTTCACCAGTCACTCCTATGGAGTTGTGAAATCCATGTTTCACATCTTTTCTTCTCTATTGTCATAAGCTTCAAGGCCAGCCTATCTTCAGAATTAAATAGTGATTTCAGGCTTTCATTTCTCATAGGCTTGATTATTGTGTGGATCCTCATGACTTTCTTGTAGCTTGTGAGGAGATGTCCAGAGAAAAACACTGGTTTGGGGTCAAAATATGTAGCTAATTAATGCAGTGCATTGAAAGCTGCCACAGGAAGACAGAAATCTGAGTCCCAGAGGCCCTCAAGGCTCATTTCACTGAAGTTATGGAAGCTTTGAAGACTTGCTTGGGCAAGACTTCTGTTTCACACGTTTGAAAGGGAGCTCCCTGGGTCTCTGTACATACTCTTAGGAGAAACTGCAGAACAAACAATACCACTTCACTTCGCCTTTATTTGGGGTTAGAGAACTCTGTGGTCACAGTAATCCTTTGTCCACGATAACCTCTTTTAGGAGTTTCCTTGCTATGCAATTTAACCCCCTAATAAACACACTTCAGCAGCTCTAACATCTGCACGGCAGCCACTGCAACATTCTGTGGGCATAAAACGCCTAGTTGAAGAGACCAAGTCATTGGTGAGGGAATGATTGAGGTGAGAAAATGTTTTTCAGACTGTATAAATAATGTAATCTTTTATTTCCTCTTTGGTATATATTTTCATTGACCACTACTCTGTTGAGATTGGTTGCTGAGGTTTTCACAGGTTAGGTGCATTGGCTTCTGTATTAGGTGCTTTTGCATTAAGTGGTTCTCTGCATGCTGCTCATCCTAAAGTAACAAAGACTTTTGTATTAACTGTCAGCTGGTTTCCAGCCAGAGAACTACAATAATCCTTTTTTTCTTTCTTTTGAGTGAGAAACCTTTTTGCTGACAAAATAAGTAAAGTGTCAGAACAAAACATCCTAATCAGCCCGATCAACATCCCAAATAGCTTGTTTATAAACTTATCAGTTGCTTCTGAAGTAATGGGTGGTATGCCAAAAGATCTGAATTTTTTATTCTCTTTTGCAGGATGAAAGGCTAAATTATGTGTTCAGTTGCTCTTGTGATCTGTGGAAAACAAATTTAAATTGCTCTAATATTATGTGTGCATTTCTGTTTTCGACTGAAATTTCCAGGTCTCCTTCCTCATCCTCTCTTCTTTTAATCACATTTTTTACCTCTTTCTATGTTAGAAGGTGCTTTCATACCACCTGAACTTAAGGGGCTTCCAAAAGTTGTGGCAGGTCAGCAACTTTAATTTATAATGTGAAGATTGCTGTGGGTATACCTGAGGGCAGGGTTCGGCTCAGGCTGACATTTTCCTTTCACTCTTTATTTCTGCATGAACGAACACCAGCAAGTTTCTGACTGACTTGCACTACTCTCATTATGCTAGAGACATGGGTTTTCTCACTCTTTCAGAGAAATATCTTTTCATAAGCTCATTTGCATCTTATTTACAGCTGGTTTTTCTCCCACGGTTTCTCTACTCGTATCCTCTACACCACCTCTTGCTCAAACCCAGATATCATAGGACATGGATCTTCACTGTCTCCACTGCTCCACTGTTGTCTCCCCCACTATGGCACTTCCCATGTTTCCACACTAGAGATTCTTGCTCTTTGCCAGCTACTGTCTTTTTATCACATCCTGTCTTTGTGTTCTTCTTCCAGTTCATTCAACTTTCAAGTACCCCATAATGATCCCCCCTTTTCTGCTATCACAAATTCATCTATTCTGCATCTAAAGCTATGTGACACCAAAGAACATCTACCACCTACTCATTTGGCAATATACAGTAGATGTTGTTTAAACATGCCATTGTTTCTACCACTACAGTGTAGTATTTTCTGTTACCATGGCCCAGAGCAAATGAATCTTCTACACATGATGCTCAGAGTAATCTACTATAGATTTTTGAGTAATTTTGGGATTTCTCCCCCAGCCCACTTGTGAGTAAGCAGTTATTGTGATATTCTGCTTGGTTTCACTCTTACTAACATTTTTAAGACCATCCCCTCTTTTATCTTCTATTCTGCTAACCTAATATACAGGTCTGGACAAACAAATGCAGCTCAAACTATATTGCAGGGGTTTTTTAAGTGAAATGAGTAAACCTTTTAGAAGTTAAAACAGTAGACTCTAAAGAATGCATATTTGTTTTACTTACTGACCCACAAGGAAGTGTATTTGCAGTCGCTTATTTTTAAATCATCAAAGTAAGAATAAATTACTACAAATGACTGCCAAAACCTCTTGGATTTTTTTTTTTTTCAGGTTCTGAGTTTTGTGCGTACAGAATGGGATCCCCTCCATGCCAGCTTCAGCACTCACCAGCCCTACCAGGTGCACACAGTGGAGCACTCGGTGTCGGCCACCAAGGAGCCCATGGCCGACAGCTGCGTCTACAAGTGCCTCAGGAACAAAATCCAGTGTGCAGCCATCACCAGGATACCGCTGCGATCCAGGGCCATCAGCTGCTGCAGGGATGTTACAGAAGACAAACTAGTCCTGGGCTGTGAAGACTCCTCAATAATTCTGTATGAAGCCTACAACCAAGTAACTCTGTTAGCCCAGGCAGAACTGCTGCCTGCTGTGGTGACCTACCACCCTGCCGGGGCCGTATTCGTGGTCGGCAGCTCTCAAGGGGAGCTGCAGCTTTTTGACACAGCACTGTCCCCAGTTAAAATTCAGCTCCTGGCACAAGACTATTCACCTGAGGCGACTTTGCAATGTAGTAAACACTTTGAGGTGCCTAGCAGCCTCATCCAGATCCAGTGGGCTGCACCTCCAGTTCCGTGTGTCAGCCCTGACAGCATTGATATTCATGATCTTTTGTTGGTTAGATTTGACAAAGGACCCTTGGGAGTACTTCACTTTAAACCTGGTAAGTTCCTAAGCACATATGGTGAACCTTGAGCTCTCAAGGAAACATCTGTACCCCACAAAGTTTTTTGTAGTTTGAAACACGCTAACTTTAGATACATGGGACTCATAGCCTTTAAAGCAAATTGGTCCAATAACATCTGAAGATATGAACCAAGGAGTTTTTTATCTGTTTCACAATGACTTAATACGTTTTCATATGGGACGGGCAGGATAGGACTCCAATCTGTTGTCAGGTCAGCATCCCATCATGTTCCCCATTACTCTAATAGAGCATAACAATTTATCATACAGAAAATTCTTCTAATCTGTAGTATATAACTTTAGGAATTGTATTCATCCTGTAGCAATAGCCTTAACAAGGTGAAATAATCCATATTTAATAATAGAATAGTAATGCTATTTCTTTCCCAAATTATTTTTTTGTGTGTATGATGTATATTTGTCCCAGTACTCTGTTTTTCTGGCTTCAGTACATGAAGTTGCACCTTTTCTTTCCTTGAAGACTTCTCACAGAAGAAGAAAGTCCTTCATAACCTTCAGAGAAGTTTGTTCTCTCAACTAATTTGCAAGGAGTTGCGAATAAAAGAATTAGTAATACTAATTTTAGAATGTATATAGCACTTCTCATTTTAGGTGTAAGGGGATTCTGAAAGAGTAAACTCACAACTATCTTCCTCTTACAGGATAACAAGAAGCAGAAAAGGAAAGCTAAAGTGCTTTCCAAGAGTTACACGGTGAGTCAGTGGCTGAACTAAGAATAAAACCCCTACAGTGGCTCATCAGTGAGAACTGTATTCATTTCATTCAAGTCAGGCAAGTTATAGTGGTGTAAATCCACTGTGAGGGCTAAAAAAACCAGTCATTCTTAAACCTTCTGACCCCCAAGCCAGTGTTTCAGCAGGGCAGGCAGTCATCCTGGAAAATTTCAGCATTTTGCCCATTGTCCAAGAAAACAAGATTGCCTCTCTGGATCTTCATGGGTGTTTTTAATGATTCTTTTGTATAAAGCTATTGAGATTAGAAACAAGCCTTTTTTAAAGAAAAACAAACAAACCCCAAGAAAACCCTAAGACAGCAACCTAGTTGACAGTAAGATTTAAAAATCTACTTTATTTCTTTACTTAATGAGACACACATGTGCTTTTGTGTGGGAGAGCCTGACTAAAAATACCGCAGACCTAAAAATTTGAAAGACTGAATTAATAAAACTTAACCAAGCATGCCACTGCAAAAAGGTAAATTAATATAATAAGATGTTTGCAACAAAAAAATGTTGGATTGACTTCTAGTTGTGTAGTTTTAAAAGAGCTGATCCGGATTATTGCTGTTATCCAAAAAAACTAATAAAAAACCTCTTTGCAGGTTATCATTTATTTTGAGATAATTAGCTGCATTAAGTTCAATGACAGGTTTAATAGTTGCAGAGCACCCCAGAACACTAATTATAGCAGCTATTTGATGTTTTTGTGCATGTTGGCCATTTGAAAAAAAAGAAAAAAAAAAAAACACCTCCAAATTATCTGAGTCCTGATTTCGGCTGGGATGGAGTCGAGCTGGAGGCACTCTACCCACCTCTACCTTGCTTTTCTTCAGTCCTCCCTTGTGAGGTTTTCTCACAACAGCTTTCCAGAAAGCACAGCTTTCCCCTTGCTATCTTTAGCACATTTATGTTCTTACCAAGGCAAGCAGGCTCTCAGTACAGGGATTTAGAGGCCTTTCCTGCTAATTGCCAGCTTGTAAACTTAATTGGACTGTCTCCCTGGGCACCGTTCCTAAATCAATTAGGCAGTGAGTTGGCTGTCACCTCCTTTTCCCAAGCAGGTTGCCTGGAAGCGCACCACCCAGGAGAAGTCAAGCATCCAAATGGGAAGATGTTGACCTCTACAGCTGAAAGTTATCACATTTTAAAATTCATTCTGTATAATTACTGTAAAATCTCTTCTAGGAAGAAGGCAAAGCTCTCTCCCTCCTTCCCTCCCTCCCTCTTTGTAGTCCACTGTGCAAAAATATGCTGTTCTCTATTTCATCCTAGTTTTCAGCTTTGCACATCTTCTGCTTAGTTTGCCACACTCCCAAGGTAACTGTGTTGATTAGTGAGCCCTTCTTCACAGCCTCAGCAGTTTTTGGGTCTCTGCTATACAAGAAATAATGCAAATATAAGTTATACAGAAAATAGAGGGGTCCATGACAGCAAGACCCAGACAGACATTCAGGACTTAAATAAAATCCATGATTAACACATGGCTTGGAATGGTTTCCCACAGAAGTCTGTTAAGAAACTCTGTCAATGAGAATAAGCAAATATGTTTTTAACTTCCAGCTATATTATGATTTTGGGCAAGTTCTCTGAATTCTCCATTGTGATGTCTATCGAGATGTATTTCAGGAAAAGATTCATATTAAATATACCCTCAAACATTAATGGCAGATATCTTTGGTGTCTAATGCCAAACTCATTTCCAAAAGTACTGCGGCTTCTTGTCATTGATGTCAGCCTAGATCTTGGATAATGCCAAACGTGGTACTCAGTGCCAGTGGTTCAGCATTGCTGGCCTCAAAAAGCATTTTAAATATAATATTATATTTAATTAACATGAAAATAAGTACTTTTACCTTCACTTAGTTGTTAATGTGAAGATTGCCCAGCTTCTGTAATACTTTAAAAAACTAAACATTTAGAAAGAATAAAGTCTGCCATAACTATTAGGTATTACCAGGTTAAACATGGCTATTACACATTGTAATGTCCACAAGCTTTAATACACGCAAAAACATTAGAAAACCATGTCTTTTCTTTAATGATGCTAAAAAAAATTAAGTATTTCTCTGCTACAAAATATAAATTTGTACGGTTTTTTGCCCCCCAAAGCATCACATCTGTATTTGCAAGTTCTCAGCAGGTTACTTCTCCTCAAGCTATAGTCAGATGTTTTTCTTTTTTTTTCCCCTCAATTCTTATTTTGCATCACAAACAGTATTCACAACAACATTTACGAAAGTTATGTGAGGTATGTTTTATATATATCAGGTCTGCTTTTCTCTGTTATCAGACTTTGTTTTCCTCAGCGAGTCATATGGCTTTAATATCAGTATTGAAATTGAGTTTGTTCCCTTTCTCATCGGAACTTTTTCCTTCAAATTAGTTTTGACAAACAAGATCAGAATATAAATTGGGAAAGTAAAAAAATAACATTATATTTTCATTTAAAGAGAGAGAAAAAGTAAACTTATTCTGGTCTCTAATATTTGGAGGAGTACTGACAAACTCACTCTATCAGAGTGAGCAAGACTTGCTAAAATGCCGTGTGTGGCCTATGTTATATGATCTTCTGGCTAGTCAGAGGCAATAAATAACATTACTTTCTGCAGCATTTCAGACACCTTTTCTTCTCAGAAGCTGAGACCTACAAGTCAAGAAGCATTCTTATGGCTAACTTGTTCTTGGTTTCATGTACAACCATAATTCAAAGGTCTCTAGGTGTTGGTAACTTCCATGATATCCCCTCACAGTAAAAATGCTTCACTTAGAGAATATTACCAAGCTAGAGGTAGGTTCCAGAGACGTTGCAGTATGGAGATTAATTGACTAACAGTTGCTTTGAAGTTGGAGCTGCTGTACACTTGCATACACGGGTACACTTGTCACACAGTTTGTGTGACACAAATGCTGAGTTTTAGTGTTCTTCAGTAGTATTTTCCTACAGAAAGGAGAAAATTGTGACAATTAATTTATTATTTATTATTATTTATTAATTTATTACCTATCATACAATTGTGATAAACTGTGAATAAACTTTTCCTACCGTGTCTAAAACGAACTTCATTACATGATGTTGTTACCAGTGAGTTTTGGCTACATTCTCTCAACCTCCGTGTGTGAAATTCACTGCTGATTTTTCTCTACTGTCCAAAGCACACTCAGCCTAAATATACCAAGATATGAAGGAGCTACCTCGTGTAAAAATTTAATACTGAAATCCATCAACTTAATTTTAAACAATGGCAATTATTTTTAACTGTGCTGAAAAGTAGCCAGCTACTGTTTTATGTACTTTGTATCAAAGTATAAACCCATTATCTTTGGTTTTGATATTTCCTGTTAAAGGTGTGATCACAAGAGGACAACTGGGCCTTGTGGAAATCATCCACCAGTACATTCATTATGATGAGATACATGAGGCAATTAATGTCCTGAACACCATGAACTGGAACACAATGGGTCATCAGTGCTATATCTGCTTGAGTGCCATTTGCAATCACCTTCTTAAACAAAAGCTTACACCAGACAGGGAAGGTAAGAGACTGTTTATATTTCTAATGTATTTTTGTGGTTTCTTTGTAATTCGTATGTGGATTATGGCAATGTATTTATTGACTGTATAAAGAAGACAATAGTGAGTATCCAGACAGCCAGATTATGGTGCTTCATAATCACATATCATATGTAGACAAGTCATTTCAATAAAATCTGGGCTAATGTGTTGACTACATTTTAGTTTGTATCAATAGTGATACTAAAATAATGCATATTTTAATATACATGTGCTATAGGCATTACTTAATATATGGCGTTAGCATATATATGCTGTAACTTCACTGCATTCTATAAATTTAGCTTATGTTACAGACAAATAGTACAGGATTGAAATGTTTTTAGATATACGTGCTGAGACAGCACCAACTTAAGGAGGGATGTTTTCCTGCAACAGGGAAAAGAGATTTTAGTATGTTTTTTAAGGTGCTTTTGAAGGGTCATTCTTTCATTACAAGATACAAAGTCTTTGAATACACTATCCTCTGCTGCCTCCTTTAGGATTAAAGCACTTGTCCTCACTGTAATCTGGCCCCCTGCAGTAGTAGCTGGGGTCCCTCACAAGAAATTATGAATTTTAGGTTTAGCCCCATCTCTGCTGAGACCTGTTGTGATGCCTTCCTCTTGATTTGCTGTCTATCTTGAAACTCAATAGACTTCAAGATTTGATGTGCCTTGATTTAGTGAAGGTGTTATCCTCCAGTCTAGCAGGCAGACAGCTGGACACCAGGCATCTTTTGTAGCAAGAAAGAATACTTAGGATTCTGACATGTTTGATGATAGAAAAACTCCAAGGTGTCCTACATTGCTGCCAAACCATCAGCTATCCCATTTTATGGGATCTGATTAAAAAAGTCTCTGCATTGCAAACATGACATGTTGATTCTAAATAAAACATGCTTTGAAAAGGACCTGTGAAAAGGGCTGAGCATGAAACTCTTCTAAAAATATGCACATTATAAACAGATGTCTGTGTGTTTCCCCTCACATGCAGCTCCCTAACACTGTTTACAGCAGAAAGAATTTTATTCCATCCAGGAGTTATTCTATCTGAGTCTAACAAATTTGACATGGTAATTTGTTTTCTTTTTTATTAGCAAAACCCAGTGGGGCCTTTTATTTATAGTGATGGGGCAGTTATCTCTGAGATCTTTATCCTGCCTTCAACATCAAGCTGAGCTGTCTAATGAATCTATAACTGTGCTAGTAGTTGCTCATATTCCGTGTCGGTTGAAATGTTTCAGAAGTACAAAACATGCTGACAAGAAAACAGCAATGGCAAGAGAGTATGTCTTGTTTTTCTATTTTAATCTAAATTGACTGCTGCCTTGAAAGAAAATGCTTTTAAAGTTCGACTTATCTTACTATCTAGATTTAAGATAACACAAAACTAGTTTACTAACAATTTGCCTGTGTTACTAACACAGTACTACCAGCTGATTTAGTGCTGTCAAGCTAATAAAATAACATATAACTATTCTTGGAAGGAAAGAACCATTATCACAAAATGCAGAAATGCATAGTTCAAACAAACATTAATAACAGCAAATCAATGAAATTCTGTTTGTCTAATGAGGCAATGTTATATTTTCCCTTTAAAGCAAGGTTAATATATAGAAAATAAGTATATAGTAAATTCTCCCTGTTCTGCCTACAAGGCCTTGTACTATGTTGTTAATTCTCAAGCAAAATTCACAAGCATAAATATTATTGATCAATTAATTTCCTTTCAGCTAAGCATATGGGACACAGAAGTGTGCTGTGTATTTACTTGTATTATTTATAATTTTGTATTAAAAAATTGTAGGAAAATGCCTAAGAGCTTGAACTGTGGAGTCTATCAGTCAGAAAATATTTAAAGCAGAGAGAACTTGTGTAATGAAAGGGTTTTATTTTATTGATTACAAGGGAGGTTATCCTATTTCCCACCACTACATGCTGTCAAACCCTTAGGGTTTTTAGACCCTTTTATTTAAAATTTTTAAAGAACTGTGGGCTGAAGGAGGTTCCTTAGACCTCAAGGCCATCACAAAGAGGGTTCTGTTACCTGCTGACCTAACACAATAATCCCTGAAAAACCGAACTCCCTTGTTGTTTGCCTAAGAGGACAAAGATGATTTGAGCTAATTGAGAGTTCATCTCTACTGGACAATCTTGTTCAAACTGTATTACTCTTATGAGTCACTTTTAGTTGTCGGCTGCTGGTGAGAACTTGATGTGTTATAGACTTCATTATCCTTTTCATAGCTTTTATTGCTCAAAGTCATTGTCAGCTCTGCCTCAAAGTGAAAGTTTATATGCACATTTGTGCCTGTACAGTCTGTCATATTTTAATTTCATCTGTCCTACAACAACATCACATTTCATCAGTGTTTGAGGAATTTGACTGACTGCAAACATGAGCAACCTGTTGTAATTGAAACTGATTCACTTGCTTCATGGCTGCTGTGTTTGAACTCCACAGCACAGCTTGAGGCAAGCCTTGGAACCTTTTATGCACCAACAAGACCCCTCTTGGATACCACTGTGCTGGAATACAGGGACCCAATCAGCAGATATGCAAGAAGGTTCTTCCACCACCTGCTCAGGTGAATGACAGTTTCAACTTCTATCAGCTTAAAATTAATTGCATATTTCAATAACAGCCTACTTTAATGTGGTTAACATTTTCCAAGAGGACCACCCCTGACAAAAATGCATTCATTGTTAATGTTTGTTTAACTTGCACTTTGTTCCTTTCAAATAGAGTATTTCAGATAAAGTGCTATTCAGAGCTCTTCTGTCATCAGTACACTTAAAATGAATCACCCTTTCCCTTTTAGCTTGATAGAAAAAAGATAACATGCTTATGAGAGATTGATATTCAACAACTGCTTTTAGATTAGCTATTGAAAGAGCTTACAAACTTGGAGAAAACCCTGCTAGAACACAAAAGAATGCTGCATGATCCAAGACATTCCTATCTTCGCACCACTGAAATCTGGGCATTTTGTTATTCTTACCTTTAAAGTTCTCAAATATAAATTCATGTTCCAGTAATTTTCAGTGAATTTTCAATTACATTCATGTAAGAGGAGAAAATGAAATGTTGAATTTGTCTGTAAATTATATAAAATCATGGATTTGGGTTTGGAAAGGACCTTAAAGATCATCTAGTTCAACCCACCGACTACAATGGGCCGGAACACCTTCCACTAGACCAGGTTGCTCAATGGCCCATCCAGCCTGGCCTTGAACCCTGCCAAGGTTAGGGCATCCACATCTTCCCTGGGCAACCTGTTCCAAGTGCCTCACCAACCTCACAGTAAAGAATTTTTTTCTTATATCTAACCTAAATTTCCCCTCTTTCAAGTTGTACCCATTATTCCTTGTCCTATCACTACAGTTCCTGACAGAAAGTCCCTCTCTGTCTTCCCTGTAGACACCCTTCAGGTCTCCGCACAGCTTCTCTTCTCCAGGCTGAACAGCCTCAACTTTTTCAGCCTGTCTTCTTAGGGGAGCTGCTCTTACCTTAGAAAATACCAAATTCAGCTAGAATTTATAGTGATTGGTTTATTGTTTTATTTTGCCTTCAAAATAATAGCTTTCATTTCTGTAGTTATAAATATCATTATGCAGCAGCTTAACCTGTTCATTTGTTCAACAGCACCTATAGCTGAAACATTCCCTCTGAGAATTACCCAGTGGATGAAAATAAGGATAAATTACCTTATGAAAGATAAATTCGTAACACCTTGTTGAGGAGTGTAGCTGGACATAGTGAAAAGACTTACAATGCACCCTTTTTCAGTGATTCATCCAGATTGTATATACTGTCTGCATAGGCAGAGCTAGGAACTGCAAGTTACTTTGATAGCACACTGTGCTTTTTTTCAAATCCTAAAGAAAAATATTTTATATTGTCTTCCACGCCTTGAGCCTGAAGAGGATCATCTTACTGGTAAACAGGTCCATTCCAGTGGGGAAATTATTCCAAGTGGATGAATGCTCCAATATTTGCATAGCATGCACCAGCCTTTCACTGGAGTTTTCCTAATACACATGACCACAACAGTGGGCACAAACTCTGCTGTTGCCTTTCTCCTAGAAACCAGCAGGGAAGATCTGTTGCAGCAATGGCCAACTTGTGGTGGCTGTGGGCCAGTTGCCTGCGGAGGACAGATGCAGAAGGAATGCCTTGGAGATTGCTGAGAGGTGTAACTATAGTGCTCTTACATCTGCAAGAGAAAGGTGTATTCCCTCTGACTCAGGGTTTGCTTCCAAGTGCTAGCAGGCATGCAGAGGCATGGGGCCCCAGCTAAGCTGCCAGCCCTTGGGGCTGCTGAGCGCAGCTGAAACACTGACTCAACTTTCCTAAAACAAGAACCTTCAGTGTCAGAATGCTGCCTGGACAGCGTGGGGCACAGGCAGGAGGTGTGTGGAGAAATGTTTTATCTCCACCATAAAGCAGCGCTTGAAAAATCTGTGATTTTGGCAATTTTGGGAAAAATATGTGTTATTTTGCTGTTTTCCTGTTGTCAAAGGGATTTGTATTCAGCTGAATCAAAGTGATAGGATCGTGTGATTGCTGCATAACAGATGGTAATGCTTAAAGCTTATCTCAGAAGACATAATCTAAGTACAAAATTAAATGTTCAAATACGGGAGATTTATCTGATAGAAAGCAAGGAAATGGTGTTCAGAGCTGATCATTATTGCATTAAAGTGGCTGTGCCTTAATTGGGGTTTATTTCCTTTTAGATGTTTTCTTAAGTGACTGGAATGATTTGAATGTAGGCTAAGTAGGCTAAGCAGAGAAAACTACAGATTTGTTGGGGAATGGCAAACCGTGGCTCTGGGTAAATGAATGCCAATCCAGGCATGATGCAATGTCTAGGAGGATCATAGGAGACACAGTGCTCACTAATTCAGGCACATGGAAGTTGCAGTTGCTGCTATTACATCTGTCAGTGAGAGGCCAGCAAGACAAACCACTTCTGCCGGACTGCATTTACAGCTGTAGGTTCAGAACAGGAGGAAAAGTGAGAAGAGAATCATTCTCTTTCCCTTTCAGGTCAGCTTGTTATGCCCCTGAGGATACTGAAAATGGAGTTCCTCCCACTTACCTGTTTGTCAGAGACAGTGGCTGTTTCAGGGGGTCAGGAAGCCTACATTTTAAGTCAGTTATATGCTCTGTCTCAATCCTTGTCATTCCAAAATGTTGGAAGTCAAGGAGACAAGGCAGAAGGCCAGCTTGACTGAGCAGGGATCTTCTTTTGGAGATAAAGCAAAAAAGGAAAGTGTATGCCCAGTGGAAGCAAGTTCAGGTGACATGAAAGAAATACAGAGATGCTGCTCACCACTGTAGAGAGAAAATGTGTGTGGCTAAAGCTCAGTTGGAGTTGAAGCTGGACAGAACTGGGGAGGAAAATTAAAAGAGGTTTTTTTTAAAATACATTAATGGCAAAAGTGCAGAAATAACATCAGCCTGTTACAGGGTGAGGATGGTCACCTCACAAACAGGCACATAGACAAGGCAGAGAAATTTAATGGATTCTTTGTTTCTGTCTTCAGCACTGATGATGAACTAGGGGGGTCCCAGTGCCCTGAGCTGGAGGACCATTCCAGTGAGAATTATAAACTACAAGTTGACCCTGAAGTTGTGTGGGATCTGCTGCTTGAGGTGGTTCCCAACAAATCTATACGGCCTGATGGGATTCATGAGAGAATATTCAAAGAGCTGGCTGATGTCATTATGAGGCCTCTCTCAGTTTTTTAACTGTCTTGGGAATCTGGAGAGGTCTCAGTTGACTGGAAGCTGGCTAACATTGTCCCAGTTTTCAAGAAGGGCAAAAAGGATCACCCTGGAAACTATAGGCCTGTCAGTCTCACTCCAGTGACTAGAAAATTATGGAGATTATTCTGGGAGATATTGACAAACACCTGAAGGACAACACAGTCATTGGTCACAGCCAGCACAGCTTCATGAGGGGAAAGCCCTGCTTGTCAAACTGATTTCCTTTTATGACAAGATAACCCACCTACTTGATCCAGGGAAGACAGTTGATATAACCTTTTTGGATTTCAGTAGAGCTTTAAAGCTTTTGATACCATTTCTCACATTCCTCAAGGGAGGTAATTGTCCTGCTCTGCTCTGCACTGGTGTGGCCTCACCTCGAATATTGTGTGCAGTTTCGGTCACCACAATATAAGAAAAATATTAAGCTATTAGAGAATGTCCAAAGGAGGGCAACAAAGATGGTAAAGGGCCTTGAGGGGAAGCCTCATGAGGAGGGTCTGAGGTCACTTGGTCTGTTTGGGCTGGAGAAGACTGAGGGGAGACCTCATTGCAGTTACAACCTCCTCATGAGGGGAAGCAGAGGCATTGATCTCTTCTCTCGGGTGACCAGTGACAGGACCCAAAGGAATGGCCTGAAGTTTTGTCAGGGGAAGTTTAGGATGGATGTTAGGAAAAGGTTTTTCACCCAGAGGGTGGCTGGGCACTGAAACGGGTTCCCAGGGAAGTGGTCACAGCGCTGAGGCTGACGGAGTTCAGGAAGCATTTAGACAACACTCTCAGGAATAGGGTATGGTTCTTGGGACTGTCCTGTGCAGGACCAGGAGTTGGACTTCGATGATCCTAGCGTTTCCTTTCCAATTCAAGATATTCTGTGGTTCTGTGATTTGATTTATTCGCTTTTTTACCCTTATTCATTTAGCACTGAGTGCTTGCAGGCTTGTTACAAATAACTAATGAATCTCTTCAGAGTGAATTTTTTTGTTACAACAGATGTGTTTGCATGACCAAACAAGAAGACTTGAATGCAAAAGCCCTGTAAACTGCCAATGCCAACTTGATGCAGCACTAGGGAACATTTTGTTGCTCTCATACGAGCATGAGGAGACAAAAGTGATCACTTTGTACCCTATTGCAGCAAGAAGCAGAAGACACATAGTGCTTCCTAAATTATGTGCAGTAAAATTGTGGCTGATATTCAAAAAGTATTTCTTGGCATAGAGTAGGACCTTCTGCAATTCATTTGGGCTTCAGAGAAAGCAAGCAGCAGATGCACAGAAGTTAAATCTGGTGGATAAGGAATGAAGGAGAGAAACTCAGAAGTTTGGTAGAAAGGGTGAGGAAAGTAAGTGGGGTTAGGAGCATGAGTAGAAGAGAAGGAATTGGGAATAAAGGCCTAAAGGAAGGCATGGGGATGTACAGTGTCCTGCAAAGAGGGCAGAGTGGGACTACAGAGCAAAATGGGGGAAGGCGGCTTATGATATATGTGGTGGGCTACAGAGACCAGACACATAAGGGATGGACAGGGAAGGGTGGAGTCTTGCATACAAGATTAAAACATTAAAACACTCAAATGTTTCTAGATCTGAATCTGAAAAACGTTCATATAAACAAAAGTCTTCACTCCCCTCTCCAGCTTTCCTTTGAATGCCCCACCAATCTGCCTTAAGCCTTTTCTAGAAGGACCCACTCTGGAGAGAGGAATATTAGTTCATCCTACATGCTGAGACAATCTTTGACCTGCCTGCTGAGTCTGCCAAAAAGGTGCCAGTTATTGTTGTACTTTTAAAGATGTGAGTGTCTGTATTTACT